CGAAACCGATTTTGCCCACCCCTACTTGCATCTGAAATATGAGCAATGCTAGGGGCACTCGCTTTTCGCACTCTCCGGTGAAAACTTTCTCTTTTATTGGGCCACGTTATCTTGGTTCCCGAGAAGTTGCGGCTAAAGGCTTTAAAGAAGCTTACGTGGCCCAATGAATGGGGAAGTGCCGGCCGGAGAGTGCGAAAAGCGAGTGCCCCTAGCATTGCTCTCTGAAATATTAAAAAGACCGCAGAGGCGACCAATGTCCACAGCTGAAAGCCTGAAACAGAGGCAGAGAAGCTATATAAAACGGGCCGGTGTATGGATCGAACATTTGGCGCCCTTTTCTCAAACAACAAATCTCTAACAACACCCTCTCTTTTGCCCTAGTGAAAATCCCACCTCCTCCCACCCGAGAATCCATGGCAGAAACCTCAAAGAAATCCCCCCAATCGGCCATAAAACACAATCAAAAGCCCTCTCCTTCAGTCGGCCTGACTCTGGGAACACCGCAAACGCTCACTCCTCTTCCCCGATCCACACGCAGAGCATTCAACGATTATATTTCTTTTTGTTTCTTGGTAATAAATCTTCAAAATCTATGCGAAAGCGATGAAGCAATGTACTACTAAGAGCTCTTTATAATTTTTTTTGGTAAGCAGAGAGTTCTTTATGATGTTCATTCTATATGTTCAGGTATAACAAATACTATGGACCTTACAGAGAAGTTGCTGCCTCGGATTTCAAGCCAGATGGGCACTCAAAGGTTCTGCTTTGGCCTCTATAATTATCAGCAACTTCAAGAAATCATTTCAAGTCGCCTGAAAGGAGTTGATGCATTTGAAAAGCAAGCAATAGAATATGCTTCAAGGAATGTCGCTTGTTCGTTCTTCTTTCCCCCATGAAAATTTTCTTTCAAACATTTTTCCTTCTCCTGAACGAGATGCACCTAGAACATCCTTAATTTCCCAATATTGAATTTAATGATTGTCTTATTTGACTTCAAAACATGTTGTACTTGTTTGAGTTGTTTCCACGAAGCAGCTTTATCTAGTGATGCTCGGCGTGCCTTGGAGATATGCAGGCGAGCAGCAGAAATTGCCGATTTTCATATTAAGAGACAAGTTTCACCCAGGAATTCTAATGCAGGTAGATAAGTGCTGTATATCCACAAAAATTACTAATTAATTAGGAAATGGTAAACTTTTCACAACTATATTTATATAGCCCGTGACTGGTATAAATAACTGGGGAATTCAATTTTGAACCCACAAAAGTGTCGGATTTGCTTCAAATCGTGCTGGAGATATGTAGTGGAGCATTCAACAGTTGCTTTCATTACCCTAAATTTGCATTGCAGCTGCAAGCTTGCTGAATGCAGAATTATTATCTGTGAACCAGAAACCATGCACAGATTAACTTTCCCATCCGAAGGAAGGTGTTTTGGTTTTAGAGGAAATGATGGGCTTTGGCTCAAAAAAGGAGAATATGGGCCAAGCCTTAACCTTGTTCTAAATTTTAACTATTAATGGGCTTAAGGGAAGTTCTAAATTTTTTTCGAGCCCAAATCCAAACCTGGAAAGCCGGTGTAACGGTAAATGTCCCGCTGCAACCGGTTTTCTCGGGACTCACTCGACATTCCGCCAAAATAACGCCACTCTGCGCGCATTTCCGGTACATTCCCCTCTCTCTGCAGCATTTCCGGCGAAAGAACAATGGCGATTCCGCCTGCTCTCGTGGTTGTTCCTGTTGGAGTACTCTTCATTCTCTCTGGTCTTATCGTCAATCTCATTCAGGTACGTCAGCCACCCACACTCATTTTCTTCTTCTTCTTCTTCTTCTTCTTCTTCTTCATTCTGTTTCTCTTCCTATTTTGTTCGCGAATTCTGATTTCCAAATCTTGTTTCGTTGTTCTTCATCAACGTGCGTTTTGATTCTTCTGTGAAAAATTGAATGTCGAATGGTAAAAACTGAAATCCATAGCGAGATCTGCAAAGATATCGATCAAATCACCTTAGTTTTTAGCTAGTTTGACAATGTCCGGTTTCTCATTGATCGAGCATCTGTGTTCTTGTTCAATGAAAACGTCACTGACCTTTATTCTTCATATTCTGTTGTCTGCATTTTGTTATGCTTTTGCTTGCTAATGATTGATGACTTCTGTTTTCCTGATCTAATCATTGGAATAGGCAATTGTGTTTATACTTGTTCGGCCTGTGACAAAGAGTTTGTACAGAAGAATCAACAAAGTAATTGCTGAATTACTGTGGTTGGAGCTCATATGGCTCATTGATTGGTGGGCTGGCGTTAAGGTCTGTTATTATTTTTGCTTTACATTTTTGCTTACTTGCATTTTCATTTGAGAATATCTTCATTCATAGAGATAAATAATGCAATTTTAGTAAGGGATACTTAAATATCTTGGCTGCAGGTTGAGTTGTACACAGATGTGGAAACTTTTCGATTGCTGGGTAAGGCAACATCTGTTAATGGTTGAGCGCTGGTTCTTTTTTATTAGTAAAGGGTTATGATAGTTCTTGCAAACGTTTTGATATCGTATATTAAATTTTATCTTCCATTTGAGAAAATTCCAGGCAAGGAACATGCTCTTGTCATATGTAATCATCGGAGTGATATTGATTGGCTTGTTGGATGGGTCTTAGCTCAGGTGATTGCTCTTTTTGAATCTTAATATAGAGGTTGCAGCTACTTAATGTTGTCTTTGTTTCATACATTTTATCAATTTTTCTTTTGGTTCCAAACTTTGGCGGATAGAAAGATTGAATCTACTTCTGTTGATGGCATTTTGATATTCTGACTTTTAACATTTCAGTCACATTTTTTCTTTTAATAAAATGGGACTGGTTTATGGATCAGCACTGATTTACCTCCGAAAGTATAATTATTGCTATCTTTAGGAAGTTATATTGATGTATGGAACACCATGGATTTACAACTGTACACTGTCAAGTGTAAACAACCTAGCATTGTTTATGCACCTTTTATGCTCTTGATTGTGGTCCCCTGCATTATTTTGAACCTTATCTTTCTTTTTCTTTATCTGATTTTGTATTAATCTAATTGCAGCGGTCAGGTTGCCTTGGCAGTGCCCTAGCTATCATGAAAAGTGCAGTAAAATTCCTCCCAGTGAGTCTTTACCTACTCATTTTACACTGTTTTTGTTCGATAGTACTTCATGCTTTTATGCTATGAATCTATGCTTAATTAATTGGCTCTCTGTTTAAATAATGTTGGCAACGTTCTATGATTATTCATTTGATTTTTTTTCTTAATTATGTCTGTTTAAATAATGTTTAAATTTTAATATTTCACAGATTAGGAATAATGTGGCACAATTTTTGCAGATCATTGGTTGGTCAATGTGGTTTTCTGATTATGTCTTTCTGGAAAGGAGCTGGGCTAAGGATGAAGAGACTTTAAAGGTAGTAAATGAGCAGATGCATTTCTGGCACTACTTTGAACGTCTAAAACTTATTGGACTCTTATCTGCAGTCAGGTTTTAAACGGCTGGAGGACTTTCCTATGCCATTTTGGTTGGCTCTTTTTGTAGAAGGAACTCGCTTTACACAGGGAAAACTTCTGGCAGCTCAAGAGTATGCTGCTTCTAAAGGGTTACCAGTTACTCGAAATGTTTTGATTCCTCGTACAAAGGTGATATGTTAGTTGAAAATTGTTGAGAAAAATGGCGCAAAGGAATAAACTAATTCCT